GCTGCCGCCTGACAAAAGCTATACATTCTGGTTAGAAAATTTGTCCGACTTGATCGGCGCTGCAGCCACCTTACGATCACATGTGTCATCAAAGTACCGCGAGAGCAAAACAAGACCAGCCGCCGAGGTCAGGTGCTGCAGTTGCTCAAAATCGGCTGCGAAAGCCTTGATGACGACACACTTTATTCTCATTGGTCCGATTCTGTGATGACAAGGACGATGTGTGTTGCGTGTTTTTTCTTAGACAAGTTCCTGTATTTGATCAATCTTGATATTCGAATATCTGATATTCAAACAAAACATTAACAAAAATTAAGATTAGGGTATCTAGTAAATATTCTTATTGTAGAGAAAGTTTGGAAGAAAACGTTCTGGTTAACCTATATATTTGGAAAATGAATGACGTTGGTTCAGCACACTACGCAAAGCATGAAGTGTTCAAACTGATGGCCGTCTCTTTACTCCTCCCCCGCCTGCAACCGGCAGATCTCGCCAGCCAGTGGCAGGCTAGTGTAGTTAATCTTGAGCAAGCCTATTACTACAACGAGAATAAAACTTACGCCTTCTTTCTTTGCGTAAACATTTGGGCAGTGTTATGCAAATCTTCCCACACAGTGACGTAGATTTGAGGGGACGTGTTTAAGGGTGCTTTCACACCTGTTGGTCGATTGCTTTGTTCCGAAACAGGGATTTAAATTATTACAATGTTGCTTTTTATTCTTGGTGCGGTTCGCAAAGTTTCTAAACCGACCAAAATTGTTAATACAAGTCACGTGCGAGTAAACTGTCCTCATTGGTCAAAGTCCAACGGTTTATTTTCTGGAATTCCGCTCATAGCTGTCATCCGTCAGGATGGAACAGCAACAGTTTCGAGGGCTTATTGTTGGGTTTTTTGTAGCTGTCATTATATTAATTTATTAATTTATCATTTTGAGCAGGAGTCCAGGATTCGTTGGGAAAACATTGTTAAAATGCGCCTACTACAAAGAGCAATAAGACAGCATTATAAAATGAAAAGGCACGGTTTGATTTTGAATGGTGAAGACATGCTCACCCACAGACATCATCTACTGCTTTTCACGGAACTTATGTAATTACCCATCATACATTGTGATATAGCCTGGTTCGTTGGTTCATTGGATCAGATTGCTTTCTCACTACAACCGAACCACTCCAGAGTTCGTTTTCAATCGTTCAGGCGATCTCGGACCGATTGTTTTGGTGCAGATCCGAGGGCGATTGCCATGTTCACATATGCCCAAACGAACCGAGCTAAGGGGGAAATGCGACTGGTTCCAAAACAACAGGCCAGGTGAGCACCCTAAATGAGACGTTTTAGGAAGGTACGGATGAGTCTTCACTTGTAGAAAGAATATCTCTTTGGGTTTGAGACTTTAATCTTTGTGACTTTACTGATCTTATATATGCACAAACAGCTTGTAACACACCAATGACAAAGGAAAACATGAAATCGCGTCATATGACCCCTTTAAACATCTGTGTGTGTATATATACATACAAATATACACAGTACACACACGTATATGTAAAAACAAACTTTTATTTTGGATGTGATTAATCGATTTGACAGCACTAGTTTTAAAGTATTTTTTAAAATTTTGTAGTAGTAGTAATTAATAATAGTAATAATAATTATTATTATTATTAGTAGTAGTAGTTAGTAATATTTTTGTTAATGTTTGACAATTTCATGCCTATTAAATTTGTTTTCATTTATTCAAAGCAGGATAGAAAACATAATCATAAATATATTATTTAATTATTTATAATTTAATTATATGTACATAATTTTAGAAACAAAATGACTTTAAGACATAATGCTTAATATTTTTCTGTTTATACAATGTATAGACTCATGTATACTGTATGAGGATCATCAATCCTTGGCATTCAAAATTTGAAAACTAGTTCTCCTAATTTTTACAGAACATTTTCAAACTGGGTGAGTTCATTTGAATAGTTGACTCCGTTATTCTTGCACATGTACTACAGGGCACATTTCAGATGAGAAGGTGTCCATTCTTCTTGAGATGCTGAACTGAAACGATGAGAATGAGAGTGGACTGCCATGCAGTGCATGTTTCTTTCCTACTTGACCTATAATAACATGATTTGGCAGGTCATAACATGGCAATAAGGATAGAATAACAAAAATGTGGCTCCAATTAGTAAAACTAGAAACAAAAGATGTTCTTTAGTCATGAAATCCTTGTACACATCATCTGCCTCGGAAGGCAACAGTGGGTTGAAGTAGAGAAATAATTGACTAGGACAGGACAGGCTGCAACTGATGTCTTTAAAGTGTTTGCCATCATCCGTAATTCATACTTTCAAAGCACGAGTCTTTGATATGGTTCACTGGCTGTATTACGAGAACTATAGAGGGAAAAAAGTAATGACTTAGTCATAGGGTCATATGAGACTTGGCTCAGCAGCAGGAGGAGGAAAAGGGGAATGAGGTAATGCCGTCGTTTTTAATGGCAAACATGCTTGAGGTAAATATTTGCACATAACTCATGCCATGAGAGCACTTCTGCGGTATATCACATCCACATGTCTCAAGCACTTTAACTGTTTCTAGTTGAGGCTCAGTTGACTGTACCCCGAGGCCTCATAATGGGAAAGTCATGGTATGACTTCAGCCCCGATAACCTCGGTTTGGAGAGCTTGCTTGTGTGCACACAATCAAAACAGAAATTATGTGTTATCCACCAACAAGAGGACTTTGTATCTTTGTACTGTGTTTTTGACCATCTGTGTTCTGCGGTGTCCTGTAAGTACATAATTTTAAAGGGTGCTATCATGACGAATAATATTTTCCCTTTATCTTTTGACATAAAAGGACATCTTGTACTATGAAAACATAACTCTCAAAGCTCAAAACATGTAATTCCCATTAGAGCATCTTATGAAACTAAAGGGTGGAATACACTACATAAAGAATGTCTTATTTATATCATGTTTACACTTTGTTGGTTATAATGAAATAATTTGTGAGAATGCAGAACTCTGTAAGCTAATATAGCTGATCTAAAACATTTTTAGTAAAGTTTTGAAGCGGTTTCTGACTAACATAAAATCCTCTAGCAGGCCATTGTATTCACATGATCAACAGACATGTCTGTGTTTGGCTACAAAGCAGAACGCTTCAAAAACAGCATTGCAAATAGAATCCTCTGAAGCTCTTCAATAGCTGTTTCCATCCAAAGTTACGAATTAAACTTGTGCACAAAATTGGAATATCGCATAAAACATCTGCGAATAAAGCACCGTTTCCGTCCAGTGAGTTGAAGAGAACAATATTGTCACTTCCCGATTAACTTGCGCTAAATATCATGAAGAAAAATTACATTTGCTGCAGTAGGAGAAGGCACTGTATATAATATAATATCTTATTTTCAGAGCCTGCTGTTTAGGAACGCAGTTCTGGGAGTTAATTATAATGAAGTACTTTGACGAGACTTTGCTCAAGTATTTTAGAATGACAAAATTAGCTTTTCGTTCTGTTGGTTGGTTCAGTTTTATGCTGTCCCATTGTATTAGCATTAAGGAATTTATTCTGCAAAAGTGTTTCAATCGTAGTTTATGTGCATGTTTTCTTGCCGGATAAGAAATTGATCCTACTTAGTTGAGCACATAAGCATTTTTAGAATTTATGTGCGTCTTTGTATTTCCATCCAGCATTTTTTAAATCTGATATCCCAAAATGCTCATAAAGATAGGTGGATGAAAACATAGCTTCTGAATGCTCACAAAAATATGCATTTAAAAGCAGCGCCTATCAGCAGAAAGGCTGGTATTGTTACATTTTTTTTTTCAGTATCCACTACCTAAACACTAGATGAATTAATGAAGTAAAACATGTGAAAGTTTGTGCTGTTACTGGTTTTTTGTAGCACCTACTACTCTGCACATCCTTCTGATGCATTCTAATAGTATGAATAAGTGGACAAGGTTTATTTTAACAAAGCTCATGTTCATTTGAGTCTGAGCATGAACAGATTTTGCAGAGAGGCTGTTGTTGAAGTATGGGCGGTTAAAACTGTATTGCTCAATTAACGAATAAAGAGGGCATTTCTCAAAGACGCAGGAGCAAGCAGGATTACACGGCTTAGATAAATGGTGAAAACACTGATAAAGTCTAAACCACTAATATTTTAATAAGATTAGGCCTATAAATGGACATCAGAGGACACTAAATATTTAAAAAAAAGTGTTGTGTGAACCCTTTAGGAAAAGAATTGTTGAAAGCCGAATTCTGAGAGTGAGACTTTTCTCTCTGGATATGAAACCAGTCAACATAAATATAGACAACATAAAAGTACCTGAGATTCACAAAATGAGAAGTGAAATGCTTGGCATCTAATTCATGAAAATCATTTTTCCAGAATTTTGGTAAAGGATTTCCTTGTTAAACCTCACCCAAGTTATGCAAAGTGTTTTGAGTACACAGAACGTTTTCAGACGTGTTTCCTTCTTGTTGGACTTTGAACTGTTTGTAACTCGTTCACGTTAGTTTAAGTTTAAAAAAGGAACTTTAGTTATGACGAATCGGGGAACAGCATTGTTTACCATGATGTATGTACTTCCCTGCAATTACTGTGAAGTCAGATGCTCACCACATCTTCAGCACCATTTGATACAAATATACCAGCCATTCTTTCATGAAAGGAATTTCCCGCTCATGTTCAGGGTGTTTCAAAGGAACATGTTCAAATTTAACCCAGATGGTTGACTAACCTACATCCAGGTGGGCGGCTCTCTTGAGAACCGATTCCGCAGGAGCAAAACTGTTTCAGGCACCAAAGCTACAGACCACTTACGAAAAGATTTTCCATATGCTGTAAATCCGAACTATGCAACCAAGATCCATCCTGGTGGTTTTTTGTTTGCGTCACAAAATTTTGGACATTAACTGTGCCGAAAAAGTCATCTGAAATGTAACACTTCATTGACCTACATATTGTTGTCATTTTCAGATCAAGATGGCTGACTCTAGCACTGGCAAGCCTATTGTGGTCACTTCCTCCATCTCCCTCAAAGTGACCGCTCCTTCTTTCTACAACCAACCCAAAAAGTTTGCGTCTGTCGCTCCGCCACGCCCCAAAGGACAGATGGCCCCATCACAGCCCTCGTCATTTGTAAGCACTGGTGTTATTGGACGAGTTGGAGAGATGCCCCCTCTCCCTTCAACTCTTTGTGAGGGTAAGGCAATAAAAAGTGTCATTTAAAGATCTAAAAAAGTATTTTAAAAATCTCATATGTGCCAAATTTTTTTTTATAAATGTGCTCTTTGTATTAGGCCTGTCACGATAACAACTTTTTGTTGTGCGATATATTGCCCCAGAAATAATTGCGATAAGCGATATTATTGTCATTTTAAAGATCATTTTATGCCACTGAATATATAATCATAATGTAACAGCATAATAATGCAAGAAGGCCTACACACTTCCAAATGACAGCAAACTTTTAATTTTTAAGAATATTTAAATCATGGGAATTAAGTATCAAAATATTAGATACCTTAAAAAACCTGAATAAATAGTAAATAAACATTTTCTAACAAAAAGTGCAAAGTAACAAGTAGAAAAAAAGAAAAATGCAAAAAAAAACTTGTATGGAGATTTTTCCATCTACAGATTTTTCCCTGATCTTCTTTTCTCTGTAAATGAAAGGTGCACACTATTGCTGAAAAACACAATCACTACTTAGCAGTCAGATGTCCGTATGCACAAAGGCACAGATCCCTAAACAAGTTCCATATGCTGTAAATCCGAACTATGCAACCAAGATCCATCCTGGTGGTTTTTTGTTTGCGTCACAAAATTTTGGACATTAACTGTGCCGAAAAAGTCATCTGAAATGTAACACTTCATTGACCTACATATTGTTGTCATTTTCAGATCAAGATGGCTGACTCTAGCACTGGCAAGCCTATTGTGGTCACTTCCTCCATCTCCCTCAAAGTGACCGCTCCTTCTTTCTACAACCAACCCAAAAAGTTTGCGTCTGTCGCTCCGCCACGCCCCAAAGGACAGATGGCCCCATCACAGCCCTCGTCATTTGTAAGCACTGGTGTTATTGGACGAGTTGGAGAGATGCCCCCTCTCCCTTCAACTCTTTGTGAGGGTAAGGCAATAAAAAGTGTCATTTAAAGATCTAAAAAAGTATTTTAAAAATCTCATATGTGCCAAATTTTTTTTTATAAATGTGCTCTTTGTATTAGGCCTGTCACGATAACAACTTTTTGTTGTGCGATATATTGCCCCAGAAATAATTGCGATAAGCGATATTATTGTCATTTTAAAGATCATTTTATGCCACTGAATATATAATCATAATGTAACAGCATAATAATGCAAGAAGGCCTACACACTTCCAAATGACAGCAAACTTTTAATTTTTAAGAATATTTAAATCATGGGAATTAAGTATCAAAATATTAGATGGAATATGTACAAGTGGAATGTACAAAACATGGTGACATTAATTTTTAAGTAAATATAATGGGCGATATATTGCGTCACCAAAAATTATTGAGGTCATGTTCATATATTGCGCGATAAGTCGATATATTGATTATTGCGACAGGCCTACTTTGTATAAATATGTTTTATGTGAATTTGGAAAACTTGTAACATTTTCAAAAAAGGTTTATTTTAACAACTCTAAAATGTCATGTAGTGTAACAATCAAATTAAAAAAATATATATTTTTCATACACCTTAAGTACATGTGAGTGTACGCAATCATTAATAAAAAAAATAAAATAAAAAAAAGAGCAAATATATTTTTCAGGGTATTTTTTACACCAATATCATGTATTAATTAATAAATATTTCAAGTTTTCAGGGAGTTGCACCACATGTAATTCTATTAACTGAATTAGCCTTGCCTTTTATAAAAAGTTTAAATTATCTGATATTTTAAGAAAATTATTGATCTTGACTCATGAGTATCTGCAGTTCTATTTCTCTGATATCATTTCCTGTTTAAAGTTTTTCTTGCATGATTTTTGCACCACATGACATTGATTTCAAATATTAATAGGCTTTGATGCAATCATGTTAAAAGATGTTTTAATTTAATTAAAAATTATATATACCTAAAGAAATAATAATAAAAGATTACACTAAACTATTTAATTTCTTCATTTTTTTAAATGTATTTTTTTTTTACTTCATTATGGTATCAGTAATAGGTTGTTGATCCTTTATTATACATTGAATGTGAGGTGCTTTTAAGAAAGCTAACCCTACTTGTTTTTCAGACTTAAGCTTTGTTTATCTTTGCAGTTACTGCAACAGATTGCACAATTGTAGTAATTCTCTCCTCACCAGAATTACAATATGTGCACTTGGCAACAAAGTGCATTTTCAGACATGACTGTTACAATATTCACTTTTGAGCCAAGTGTTAAAAGCGTATAAACAACCAACTATGACTTGAAGGATTAAAATAGCATTTTTCTGTGTCTGGCATATTCATTATCTGTATTGTCCCTCAAATACCAGCCCTAATGATCTAAATTGTTGTTTTCTCATATGTGAGAGAAGCAACAATGTATTAGGGCTGTCCAAAAAAAAAAAAATTGAATTTCGAATATTCGTCGAATTTAAAATAAAAATCCACATTCGAATGCAAAAACGTTGCAGTCGAATTTTAAGTGTGCGTCAGGCAGCCTTATCAGTGGCGCACGAAATGCGACAACGATGTAAGTGTCATTGCTTTTTAATGCTTTTGTTAGCCTATCCAGTTGAACCCACTAGATGCGGCGGTGCTGCGTTGTTCATTCAAAATATTGCAGAAAAAGAGAACAATAAATGCGGGGGAAGATGTTGTTTACGTCAAAACCGAAACCAAGCTGTTCACACAGAACGCATATTTATCGCATTTTCTAGAGGGACATCTATCACCGTTGCACAGCTGCATGTTTAGAAAGCTATGTAAAATTAATGTAAGTTCAACTTTTAAAAAACATCTCTCAAGACTTTATGGCGGGTTTTCCCCCATCCCACTGCATCTCAAGTTTTTAAATGAAGAAAGTACTCTTTGTGACTGGTTTTCGGTCCTTTGTATAAACTATACATACATGCATGATGCTGTTTTGTTTCTAATTGTTTAAGCAGCTTTATTAATTATATAAGGTTTATAAACATTATTTTAAACATTATGCACTTTTTTCAAAGAAAGTCGTATTATTTTATTGCTTTGAAGAAACGTGCATTAGTAATATTTTGCTTGATGCACCCTCTTGTGGCCTCAGGAGAGAAGCCAAAAGCTTTTCTTCACCCTAACTGAAATTATGCCTTAAATGAAATTATGCCTTTTAAATTCGAATATAATTCGAATATTGATCATATTTAAGTAATAAATTTGAATTTAGTTTTTCAGCCATTTTGACAGCCCTACGATGTATGCTAATGTACGTGCAGTATGTTATAAGCTATGCTATCATGCTTTGTGTAGAGTTGAATGAACAGTGCAGAAACGGATTGTTTTGTTATTGTGAACTGGTGCGAGTGTAATGAAATTCACTGCCTCTGTTCATTAGACTTCCCACCCCCTCCTCCTCCTCCACTGGATGATGCAGAGCTTCCAGCCCCTCCTCCAGAATGCCAGATCACACCCCCTGCATCTGATGCCCCTCCTCCTGCATTCCCAGCCCCGCCCCCTGCTGCAGAAGACCTGAACCTCCCTGCACCTCCCGAGGAATTAACCTCCGCACCTTCTGCCTCCTTCCCCCCACCCCCACCACCACCTCCTCCTCTCCCTGAGACCGGTGCAGGTGTCAGCTCTCAGGTAGGTTTCCAAATACTTGATTTCATTTCAACTTGATTTTAATCTTTACAAGTCTTTTCTTGCCCTTACGTCGTTTTCAGCCTTTATGAATTTCTTACTTTTCTTTTGATTAAAATGCTTTCGCACTATACTGACTACAAGTTTTTCCCTTTAATACCTAGATAACTCCATTCTGATGAGTGATTTCACCACAATGAATTTTTTACTGAAACTGAAATAATGATTAAGTTAATTTAATTTATTTTTTAATCAACATTCAAATAAAAACTGAGTTGTATACAAACATTTAAATTGCATATTAGTCATTTTTATAGCAACTTTTTGACATAATTACTTTTTTTTTACTCCATTTCATTGTTGAAATATAAACATTTAAATGGTGGCTGTAGTAAAAAACTTTTCTTCCATGACATTTATTCAAATATACCATAAATAATAAAGACATTAGCAGGTTAAATAAAAATTTAATTAATTTGTAACGTTGTGCAGTATTTGGCTAAATGCTCTTCTTTTTCTAGCTAACTAATGAGTTATTGACCTTGAATGGTTTTTATGAAATATAACGTTATGTGACACATTGTTTACAAGCTGTTTTATTGACATTTTTCCTTTGTTGAAACACTGATTGAGCTATTATGTAAGACATGATACATTTCAATAAGTTGTTATGTTTCTTTCAACTAGGTTTGCTGCGATAGACGGTGTTTTCGGTTATACCGGTATTAAGCCGCAACACCGGTTACGTCATTTGCCTACCGCGGCACTGCCCCCCTCCGTCGTTTAGATTTTTTTATAGTAACAAAAATCATTTAGCCTAGTTCAGTTAGAGGACAGACACTTTTATAAAACTAAACGCTCAACGCAGCGTGCCGAACCGTGCGCGAACGACAGTACACCACGGAGCAGGAGTCAGATTTTAGAAAGGAAATACAAAGGCGCCTGTTTGGCAATATTTTTGATTTTGAAAAGCCTATTGACTGGAAGTTTTTTTTAAACATTCGTTTCTTATTTATTTGGTTCCACAGTGTTTGCTGATTACTTTATTTAAACTTTGTGTATTTTATTTATTTTATTTTACATCAAGGTGTATATGCCGTGCCTCCAAGCTTTCTTATTCGTTTTGCTAATAAACGTTCTATTTTTCTTATTTATTTGGTTCCACAGTGTTTGCTGATTTTTGAGTTTTATATATCTATTTATACTTTGTGTAGCCTAAGTAATTTGTTATTTTATTAGGCATATATTGTGTATTTTTATTCGTTTTGTTAATAAAAGTTCTGAGTTTGACGTTGTTGTTGCTTGAATTGAATTAACGCCGAATTGCCGCTAATTTGAAAGTGAAAGTAAAATGCGCATGGCACTTTTACAAGCCATTTGAAAGCGAAGAAAAGAGGGGAAACTCAAACAAACTAACACGTGATACCGGTATTACCGGTGGGAAAACTTCCTCACCGTCACAACCCTAGTGTGACGCTGTGTTTCATTGTGAAAGCGAAACTACTTTGTTTGGCCTTCCAAAAGAGGACACAACTAGAAATTTAAAAGCGAAGGGAAGCGAGGAAAAGAGGGTACGCCCCGCCCCAACGGTGATACCGGTATTACCGGTGTTGTCACACGTCGATTAACCGGTGGGAAAATTTCCTCACCGCCACAACCCTACTTTCAACATACCTTCTGATGTTAATTTATGTTAATTTGGTGCTATAACTTGTAGAAAAGATGTGTTGCCACTTCATTTGAACTGAGGTGGCTTCATCTATCACGCCACAATAAAGAGCACCAAAATTAATGAATTTATTGTTTGAATTTGTCATAAAACTGACCAAATTTGAAAGCTGAGACTTTTTCATATCAAAAGTAACAAAGCAGAGAAATCAATATTGTGAACCCAGCTCAAAGATCAAAGGATGCCCATTGGAGAAGTACTAATTAAACCGTCATGTTTTAGCCAAAGATTTCGGCCAACCAAAACCATTTTTTTACCAAAATTTTGGTGCATCACTAATTCTCACTCATTATGGCCTGACATGGCATTCAAACTAGTGCGTTTTACATAGTCTTATGCAATTCTAATGACTCTCTTTGTGTAAATGAAGAAGAAAGGAAGGTTGAATTGAGCAGTTTGCTGCAGTAAACTCTGCTATCCTGTGAGACGCAGTTATGCATGCTGCCTGCTGACATGTCCATATAAGCCCTGGCTCTATTTATGGAAGTGTTATTGTGGTGAGTGCGATGTAATTGGGCTACATCATCAATCTCACAGGGCCTTGTTCAATCAAACAGACCTGCTGTCGCTACTAAAAGAACAGTAAAACTCCAGTGTGAATCCACTGCATAAACATTTTTGTGAAACATTTTCTTTCGGTAGGATTTTACAGACGCACAAAGCTTGCTGACTGGTTGCTTAAATGACTGGTTAATTTCTAGTTTACCGGAAAATTTGCGGAAAATATGCTCACCCTAGCAAGATGTAGATGTGTTTGTTTCTTCATCAGAACAGATTTTTACAGATTCAAAATTACATTACTTGCTCACCAGTGGATCCTCTGCAGTGAATTGGTGCCGTCAGAATGAGAGTTCAAATAAAACATCACAGTAATCCATAAATAATCCACACGACTACAGTTGATCAGTTAATGGCTTGTGAAGTAAAAAGCTGCATGCTTATAAGGAAAAAAAGGTGGTGTTTTAATTGTAAGCTGTTGCTTCTGGTTAAAATTCCAGTCCATAAGTTCATAATAAAGCTTGCTTCAATGAAAAAGTGAATTTTTTTGCTTGTGCATATTTCTCTGCTGATTCAGACAAAACAACATTTTCACTGGAGAAAGCAATATTATGGATAGGGGACGGTTTGAAGTTTGATATCTTGATGAATTTATTACAAACACACAGGTTTTTACTTCATAAGATGATAATATATGCAGTAATTGATTCAATTGATGCAATAAACAATACAAGTTGCTATGAATGACCAAAGACGTCAGTCTAACTAGTCGAGTGCTGTTTGAGTAGCTGACCACCATAGTGCCTGATCCCGAACGTTTACTAAATTTTAAGGCTTGTGATGGCTCTTTCATTTCCAGTGTCAAGCAGTGCAGTTATTTGTCAGAAAGTGCATATTTCTTCTTTGAACATTGTGTGGTGATTGTACAGTGCTGTGGTTTTCTCAGAGCAAGACTGTAATTTGTTTGTGTCTTTCTCAGCTCTTCTAAATTTCTAAGAGCGTCATCCCTCTCATTTTGGATTCACATATTCTACCCTTTTATTTTCACATATAATTTGATCAAATTACTTTAACTAGGCATTAATTATAATCTAGGAACACTTCTCAAAAGGCATCCTTATTTATGTTCTTCGCGTTTTTTATGTTCTCTGGATTTTTTTTTTGTTTTTAGCTCTGACCCTGTCATTTTCTGTTTCACATATTCCTGTTTTATTGCTTTGTACTATATCCCACCCTTTTATTGCCTCATATTTGATATACTCTTGTTCTCTTTTCTTGTTATTCTCCTCTCCTAGACCACATCCTCTCTGACCTCTCCTACACCCCACACTCATATTGTCTCTCAAATTCTCTCCAACATTGTCTTGTTTTGTTCTCCATAGAGGGTGTTTGAGAAACAGACCAGTTTTGACAGGCAGTTGGGCTCTTTGACCGATATGTTATCAGAAATGGAGACGAGTGGACCTTTCAATCCGAAGGTAACTGCAGAGCCTTTGACCTCTGATGTTGTAACCTTGACCTTCAGGGTTCAGCTATCTTTAATTTTTTTTAAACCTTAATGGGATGGTTTACCCAAAAATGACAATTCTGTATAATTTACTCACCCTCATGTCACTTCAAACCTGTATGACTTATTTTTCTTTAGTAGAACATAAAAAGAGATATTTAGTAGAATGTTCACGCTGCTCTTTCACATACAATGAAAGCATACAGTGATGAAATATTACAAAACTACACAGTAAAAGTAGTCCAAATGAGTCTCTAGCATAAGGTGAGGGTGAGTCAATATTATTATGAGTACAAAAAAAAAAAACATTTTTGGTAGGGGTCAACAGATTTTTGATGGCTGATGTCAGTATTTTAGAGTGCAAAGAGGCTGATGACCAATATAAAGCCGAAATATAAAATAATAAATATATCGTAATATTTACTAAAATAAATATAAATTTAAAATGAATCAATGTAAAAAAAAAAAAAATGAACTTGATGCGAAAATAAAAATCTAAAATAGATTCATACATTGATTCTGTAATCCCATTATAATATTTTCACAAATTAAGAAATTAAACTGACTTAAACTAAGCATTTTGTTTCAATTTTCCATGTCCATAACTGGATAATAGAGGAACAATTATTTTTCACAATCTTAATCTTGCAACATTCTGACGCCACAATTTAGAGATTTTGTAAGACTTTTAAGTTCCTTTTCCCCATCAGATGTGTGATGTATATCTATTTGTGTTTGTTTTGCTCAGTTGCCAAGCCAGTTTTCAGCAGCACCAGCGCCAAAGCCTGCAGCACCACCACCGACCGCTCCTAAGCCTGCCCTTTCCTTTCTGCCCCCTCCTGAGCTGCCGGATCGTCCTCCCCCAGCCCCTTGGGCTGAGGAGCTACGTGCCCGAACACGACCGGCCAATCAGACCACAATATCTGCCCCCGCACCTGCACAGTCATTTCCTAAAGGCCCAGCTGTGGCTCCAAAGACCAACTTCCCTCCTAGTCAACTGAATTCAAATTTTGGATCCAAAACAGTTAGTCCTGCACCTACTGGAGGAGCAAGAGGGTTTAACCATGCCGTTAAAACCCCCGCCCAAAGCTCTTTCCCACCACCTCCACCTGCCGCCCCTCCTGCCCCTGTTCCTCCACCAGCGAATATTTCCACCCCTGCACCTACATTCAGTCACTCTGAAACATCTCCCATTGGCAGTCAGCAAAGCCTTGCTCCGCCTTCTCCTGCTGCACCCAAGACATCACTCGTCTCGTCATTCAACAGATCAGCAGGAAACACTGTTCCACCGAAGGTGGGTGTGCTTCAGATTGTTATGTGATGCAGTTATATAAATAAAGATAAGGTAAGGTAACGAAGTCAAAAGAATGCTGGAAAATAAAGATATTTCCTGAAGAAAGTACCAGTATTCTCAAGGTGGTAAAAGACTAGTTTTATGGCTTTGGTTAGGTTAAGTTTTAGGCTTTAGTTTGGTAAATAAAGTGCTGTGTTAGAGCTGTCTTACATTTTGGTGTCATGACGATCACTGCACATGATTGGGAATAAGAATTGATGCAGAACTGACTTTGCAGTGTAAATGATTAAAGAGAAGCATAAAATAAAAGACAATAAATTTAATATGCAAAGAAGTTATTGGTTAGATTTTGAATGGTGAAAATTCTTTTTTCAGCATAGATGCATTAAAATGATCGAAAGTGCAAGATTTCTATTTCTAATTCATTTTGTTCATTTTCGTCTTTCTGTTCATCATAGAAACTTAAAAATTAATCCATCGATAGTAATAAGAAATGCTTCTTGAGTACAAAATCAGCATGTTAGAATGATTTCTGAAGGATCATGTGACACTGAAGTAATGATGATGAAAATTCAGCTTTACCATCATAGGAATAAATTATATATTCAAATAGAAACTTCTTTTAAATTGTAATATTTCACAATATTACTGTTTTTACTGTGTTTTTGATCAAGAAAATGCAGACTTGGTGAACATAAAAGACGTTTTTAAGGATACTTAAAAGATACAAGGTATAAAGTTTGCAAATATAAATCAATAAAAACATGGTTTGAATGGAGTTATTTCTGATGCTGTTGTATTTCAGGTGTCTGGTTCAGGTTCAGGTCCTGGTGGAGCTCCTCTCACTATGAGGGAAGTAGAAGGGCTGGAGAAAATGACTAAGGACTTTATCAAAGACATGGACAAACATCCTCCTGTGATCCCCTCTCCAGCTACAGGTACACAGACACTATCAGCTCTCCTCCTACACACAAATTTCGCTCCACCTTGTGTACACACCCACACCCTTAAGATTTCATTTATCTTTTTATTCATTTTAATTTCAGTAATTTCCTGTTTTTTTATGTTAATTTAAGCCTCATTCATAGACATACATCCATATGGCTCTTGTTTAACGCACAGCAGACAAGCTGTGATAAACACTGACTGTGCGATGGTGCCAGGCGTCTCTTGCTCTTTCTCCATCTCCCTCTCTCTTTATCAGTCTGTGTAGGTGTTCAACTTGATATAGCTTCTCTATCTCAGTTTATTACTCTATTATCAGTGTCTAAACAGCACAGCGCTTCACCTCTCCCATGTCTGGATCTCTTTGGATGAGTGTTGTAATGATCTCACTCTGTCTTTGTCAGTATTGAGGGTTTGTTTTACTTAGTAGCTTAGATGTGTGTGCAGGTGAAAGCTAAAAAATACTTTTTGATCAGTTTTTGATTTGATCAGCCTACTTTCACATACAGCCGAAATAAGCAGTTTGATTGGTGTTTTTATGTTCAGTGTTTGTAGGTTTATTTTTAAGCCTGGTATGTTCTTGTTTATAGATTGATTTAGTTCTTTATTGCCCAGTTTGTTGTTATGACCCTTTGCTAAGCCCCGCCCCCTTGGTTGCTGTTGTGCAGTCAGGCAAACATCACAAAAAGAGCTACTTCATCCAAAAATGACAATTCAAGAGTATTTTTTCACCTTCATTTGTTTTCAAACCTATATGACCATATTTTATGTGGAACACAAAACATATTCTGAAAATTTTTTTTTTTTTTCAGTCTGGTCCAGTGTTGTTTTTGCAAAATCATAGATAATTAAGTTTTTAAACATGGCACTGTTAAACATGGCTATTTAAAACGAAGTTGAAATAATGCAGACTGACGGCTTTAACAAAAGCAAACACCGTCGATAAGTTATTATCAAGGCATCCTAGGTGAATCGAAGTAATATTAAAAATTGTCCTTGCTCTTCCAAGCTTCATAATGGTATTGGGCGGGTGGTTTTTTTTTTTTTTCAACAGTCCAAACGAAGTCAAATAAAGCGCATCCATCCATAATAAAATGTGCCTCACACGGCTCCGGGGGGTGAATAAAGGCCTCCCTGTAGTGAATCGATGCAGTTTTGTAAGAAAAATATCCATATTTAAAATGTTATAAACACTTTTCTTTCACTTCTGCTAACTGTCATATGTGGAAGCCGTTCCGGGCGGATGACGTAGGACGCATGCACAGCGCACGCGCTGTTGATTAATGACGAACACAGAAGCGCGGAGGAGAATTAAGGGACCAAAATGAGGATTTGTAATGAAAAATGTCGGAGGATTTCACTATAAGCCCAGAGGAGACTGGTTTTCCTTTGCTAAAGTAAGGAAACGTTGCTTCCTTTGCTCCTGTAAACAAACTCACGAGACTAGCATATCTCAGAGGCGCGTGTGCAACACATGCGTCCTACGTCATCCTCCCGGAACGGCTTGCACGTATAACAGTTAGTGGAAGTGAGAGAAAAGTGTTAATAACATTTTAAATATAGATCGTTTTCTTAGAAAAATGCATCGATTCGCTACAGGAGGCCTTTATTCACCCCCCCCGGAGCCGTGTGAGGCACGTTTTAATATGGATGGATGCGCTTTATTTGACTACTTTTGGACTGTTGAACAAAAACACCCACCCACTGCCATTATAAAGCTTGGAAGAGCAAGGACAATTTTTTTATATAACTCCGATTGGATTCTTCTGAAAGAAGAAATTCATATACACCTAGGATGCCTTGAGGGTAAGTAAAACCCAGGCTAATTTTCATTTTTGGGTGAACTAACCCTTTAAGGCGGCGGGTCTTTGGGTCAATTAGTGAGGCTGAGCTGTTAAGACACAACAGTGACCTCTCCAGTCACCGAGTTGTCACTCCAGAGACTAATCTCTGTGTTTACTGCTCCATAATTAATCTTTCTTTACCTCATAAATCACTCTTTATCCCCAATCTCTATTTTTCATTAATATGAACATATTTTTCCTTTCAGAGGTGTGTGGTAAATGTGGAGAGGCTCTGTCTAGATCTCAGCCAGCAGTAAGAGCGATGGATAAACTCTTCCACTCCCATTGTTTCTGCTGCATGACCTGCTGGCGCCCCCTACAGGGCATGCAGTTCTACGACCATGAAGGAACGCCTCAGTGTGAGGACTGCTACATGGTGAGACATGTGAAATTACATATTTGTGGTTTACATTTTTTGGAATCAGAAAAACAAAAATATGCACTGTTATCCACATGGCATACTTTGTTAACGTGGGAACTCGTTATGTTTTGACATTGTTCACCCCTTTTGTTCATTAAAGCGTAGCATTGTTTTTCATACTGTTTGTCTTCGTGTGGGTTTCCAGAATTCTCTGTCTGTGTGTTCTCGCTGTGGGGAGCGGATCAAAGATCGTGTCCTGAAAGCGGTGGGCCAGTGTTTCCATGCCCACTGTTTCCTCTGCACTACCTGCGGCTGCACCCTGGAGGGCGCTCCATTCATCACCGATGACAATAACAACCCCTACTGTGTCAAAGATTACCATCTGTGAGCCATCACCAAATCACAGACCAGTCACAGCTCTCAGTTATACACTAGAGCAATTGAACTAATTATCACATTTAACCAGTCATCAAAGTTATGAACAAATCAGTGAGATTTTATATGGGTTGTTCTTCAGCTATTGGGCCTATAAAATGACACTTCCTTAAAACACAAGTTTTAAAATTAGTTTATTTAATTTGGGGTACGTTTTGTTGTGGAAATGACTTTTTATGTTTTTGGAATGTCCATGTTTAAGTTAGATTTTTATGTATTCAAAATACACACAATTAAAAGGTATTTTCATAATTTTTGTGTAATTGAATTACACCTTGATTGAAAGTGATGCACAAAATTGTTTAGTTCACAAATTACCTTTTTTCTTCACACATCATGTCTCATTTATTTTAATTTTTCAGACATGCTTTGATAAAAGGACATTACTGTTGAGGGCACGTTATTAGGGGCAAAGTTATTTATTGTGATGGAAAGTTATTACACAATATTTTCGTACTTTTTGTGTAATTGGATTACAGCTCAGATGGGAAATGATGCACAAAAATTTGTTCACAAGTGTTATTACATTTTGTCTTCATACATCACGTCTCAGATGTGCTTCCTTCATAAACAAGTATATTACTTTTTTAGGAATTTTTTTTATTATTTAGAATTTTTTGAGCATTTTATTGGAGCAAAGTTGTTTAGTGTGGTGGAAATTATGCAATTTGGGCATTTTTGTAATTTGTATAAAATAATTTTCACTTTATACAATCATGTTTTCTAATGTCATTTTTATGATGGATTATCGTATTTTAAGACTGAAATTTTGACTAGGATAGGCGTAAAATAAAATCTATAAACTAAAGTCCTTTTTTAAAATAGAAAAATAAATGTGACTTTCATAGAGCACACAATGTAGAATAGAATAGGGAAAAAAATTAACACTTGGATCATAAAAGTGCCTGAAGTTGAATAAACACCCATATAAAATGTTATATAATATTAAAGGGGTCATATGATGCAATTTCAATTTTTCCTTTCTCTTTGGAGTGTTACAAGCTCTTGGTGCATAAAGAAGATATGTAAAGTTGCAAAGACTAAAGTCTCAAATCCAAAGCGATATTCTTTATAAAAGTTAATAGTTAACCACGCCTAACTAAAATGGCTCGTTCTAACATGCCCCCACATGTCTACCTCACTATGTGGGAAAATTTGCATAACACCGCCCAAATGTTCACGCAAAGAAAGAAGGCGTAGCTTTTATTCTCGCTGTAGTATTGTTGTTGCCGCTGCCGCCATGTCGTGAAGACGCTGTGTGCTTCGTTGTGAAAGCGAAACTACTTTGTTTGGTCTTCCAAAAGAGGACGATATCCGCTTCGTCATGCCTGCCAGAATCAGTTCAGTTGGTTTTCATTCCACATATTACCAGAGATATTTAGCGATTGCACAATTGTAGGTCGAATTGACGATTAAAAAGTATTTACAAAGAAAAGTACATCAGTCACTGAGCCTGTTGTTATATTTAATAATAAGTCTATGACATTGTAGCTAAAGCTTTTTAAAAACATCTGGATTATAGATCGTATTATCTACACAAAAGCTTCGGAATATACTTAACCAGAGCCTTAGGTTATATATAGCAAAATTCATTCAACATCACAAAACTGTACAGTTCATTTTATAATTTTTGTTTAAAAACAACAGTGTTACTGTAGACAAACTAACATGTTTCTGAACAAATTGAAATATTTTATTTTTAACAGTCAGTATTCCCTGTGATTACTGTGCAGAATTCCAGGTTTCCCACATTTGGCATTTTAGTTAATTTGTTTTGTTTTGTGTTTTGTTGTGTTTTTACTGTCTCACTAACACCACTTATTTTGGCTTTAAGGTAGCACTGATATTATTTTGAGAATTACATCTGTATTTACATACAGTAGCTCAGAAACGTTTTATTTATCTTTGCACCTCAATGTGTGTTCCCTTCCTGGCATTGTATCTTGACTTTTGACTAACCAAGAAATTCTCGTATTTGATATAGTCGAATAAAACGATGGCTGCCATCATAAAAAAAGTTGACCAAATCCAACACATTATGCATGATTTGTTGTTATTGTTATTACGGTGTTTTTATACATTATGTTGCACGGTTGCCTCATTTTCATGCTGGTATCACAATACTGCTGAATTCAGTAAGCTGTTATTGACCATTTGAACACTTATGGTTTAGCCTCCATGTATTTACCATTTATCCAGTACTTTGTCTCTTTTTTGTAAACTGAACATCTAAATTTCTCTCTTAATATGTGAATGTGTGTATGTTTACGGTCGAAAGTATGCCAACGTGTTATTTTTGCTATCATTTTTTTCCCTTCCACATTTGTACTGTATTCTGAAATAATAAAAGTATCAAATTGACAAACGGAGCACTTCTTGATCTTTTTGACCTAAAAGATGTATCTTGAATGGATTTTCCCATCTCAGTCAGTTTCATTTTCTTCTTAATGTAATGTGTATTTTTGAAGGTCTGCATATGTTTACGTTTTTGTCATGTGACTGCTTCCAAACATGTTCGCTCCCACGCAATGTGTGACGTGCTCTTTTGTGGTTTTGCTCCTCTCACACCCCCTCAATTCTTATCAGCTCAGCTCGCCCCAGCCTCACATACACCACTGATAGCCAGGAGTGCCGACGTCTGTGTATGTAAAAATGTCACATTGAAGGTGTATCTAAATGAATATTAACTATGCCACTACACTGAGGAACTTAAAAAAAATAAAGTACTTGCAGTTTTGTTTTACATTTAGTGTTGGTGTTTCCTCAAGTTTAACTTGGGTGACTTTTTCCAGTTGATGGATTTTGAGAAAATGAAAATCATCTTCTGGCCCTCATAATTTTGAGAAATGGTGAGATACGGGAAATATTTCTAGAAATACCCTGTTTATGTATGTGTAAAAGAGAGGGGTCTTATGGGAAGCCAAGTCATTACATGTTTATCAGTCAGTGAAAGAGTGAACAGAGAGTGTGATGTGGGAAGATAGTAGTTGGATGACTTGTGGTTGACGGAGGAGAGATAGAACAGAAAGCGGAACAGTGTGACGAAATAGAAAGCTTCGCTGGAAGAACATTATGTAGGAAGAATCCTGACCAAACGGACATAAAAGAAGAAAGAAGAAGAACAGGATGGATGGATGATAACCCAGCTGTTCATCAGGTGAGGCTTTCAAGATTTATCTACTTTCAATTTTTGGTCTTTTGCCAGTTTTATTAATAGGACAGTGGTAGTCACAGGAAATGACAGAAGTAGGTGGGATGGGATCAGGAAATGCCACAAGCCAGATTTGAACTCGGGTTACCCATAGCTAACATAAGACCAGCGGCCCACCGGCGGTTCACCGGCGTTTTGCTCATCGTTATTCCAGCGGACCACCAGCGGCTTTTTTTGGGTGAACTAACCCTTTAACAATTTCCCCCCCCCTTTTTTTTTTAAATACCTATATTTCAAAAAAGGGGGAAAAACAAAAGGAACAAAACTCTTAAAGAGAAACATGCATATATATCTACATCACAGGGACATGTCTGACTGAATATAGACATCAAAACCCCTTTAAAAGACTTTTTCCCTGTTTTCAACTTAGTCGTGTTTCCATACTCCTTCACTAAGAGTCTTTAGAAGCTGTAATGTAGATGCCCCTTTTTGGTCAGACAATCAGCAAGCTGTTTCTTCGTAGAGGACCAGAGAATCTGCTGGACACCTCCAGAGTGGATCAGCTCTTTTATGCTGCTTATTTCAAGACAGAGCCTCTTCTCTGAAACAGACTTTGTAGACTTCACAGCATCTAGAAGAGAATGATTGTCAGTTACACAAACAATTGGCAAGTTGTTCAATGTACTGTCACCTGTTGTAATTTCTGAATAAAGTGCAGATAAACACATCCCTTTGTCAATGCCATCAGCAAGTGCCAATGTTTCTCCTGCCAAGGTGCTCCGGACAACTCTTCTGACTCTCTTAGACTGCCAGGAGATAGGTGAAAACTTTCCATCTTCTCCCATCAAATAATAATAATAAAATAATAATAATTAGTTACATTTATATAGCGTTTTTCTGGGTACTCAAAGCGCTTAACATGAAAGCGGGGAATCTCCTCAACCACCATCAACAGGATCAGGTGTCCACCTTGAGTACCACCATCTGGAAGATTTCCCATTGAGACATCACTAAAGACAAACAGTTTCAAGGAGTTGTTTTTTCCCGGGTTCTGAAATTTCAGAGTAACTTCTTCTGACTTCAGCTTTCTGATGAGCTTGTTTACATCATGCAAAGTTGAGACAATAGCATGTTTCATAGTAGAAGCAAGAATAGATGTGTCGCACATTACATCTGGTCTGCTCCGTCCTGCTACCCACAAGATTTGGCCAATCTTGGAACTCAGCATGTCGGTCCCACAGTCCATCAATGGAGCCTCACGTTGCACGGCTCTGGCTGGATCTATAACAATGGGCTGAAGACTTTTTATGTACGTGCTTTGATGTACATGTATCTCACCATTTCCAGAAGAGATCTCCATTCCTACATAACTGAAACTGTTGTGCTTTTCATATCCAACTTGAAAAGCAGCTTTCAAATGTGGGATGACCAAGGAGGAAAACATTTTAGAACCTCCCCATAAAAAATCATCAACGTGAGAAGCAAGAATTCCAGTTAACTCACCACTGTCGTCCAGCCAGTAGAACACAGCAGGGTCAATCTTTGACACACAACCTCCTAGCTGCTGCATAGTATCCTTGACCTTGTTGTACCAGTACAGAGAAGCATCTGCCAAACCATACACGCATTTGTTCAACTTCCACAGGGTTCCATTGCACTGTGCTTCTGGAGGAGGACAACTCTATTCAACTCTCTTCCCTGAAAAGCTGCTTTCATGTCTATTTATTTATGTTCAATTATCAGCTGTTTGTTGAGCTGTTTTTATCATTTCTCTCATTCTGACGGCACCCATTCACTGCAGAGGATCAGTTGGTGAGAAAGTGATGTAGTGCTGAATTTCTCCAAATCTGTTCCAACGAAGAAACAAACTCATCTTGGATGGCCTGAGGGTACATTTTCAGCCAATTTTAATTTTTGGGTGAACTATATTATTGTCACAAATCAGGCCTCTGTGGCTCTCTCCGACGGCCTCCGGAGGGCACCCTCTCCCGAGTACTAACGTCCATGGACTACATTTCCCATGCACCCCGTACCTGGGACTGATTACTGGCACAGGTGTTTCCCCTTAGCTTCCCTATTTAAGCAGCTCCCAGACTCTCAGTGTTTGCGAAGTCTTGTATTGCCCCGGCTACATTTCTGAGCATTTATCCCGTCTTGTCATCTCTTGTGTATTACCTCAACGACTCACCTCGCTCACGGAGGAGATGGTGAGGAGCCCAGCATTCCTCCATCCGTTCCGTCACGAACAGTTCCCAGTCCCAGTCACTCGTCGACCAGCCCACGTCTGGCTTTCCCCGAGAAGGTTGACGGCTCACCGGAAAGATGTAAGGGCTTTCTATTACAATGCTCCATGTTTGTAAATCAACAACCGCAGTTATACCCCACCGACGATAGTCGGGTTTCATTTGTTTGCTCTCTGTTAACTGGACGAGCTCTGGACTGGGCCACTGCTGCTTGGGAGGGGAGACGGCTGTCATTTCCATCATTTGACTGCTTTCTGAGACGTTTCCGCGAGGTTTTCGAGCATTCAGCTGGCGGAAAGGAGCCTGGCGAACAGTTACTCGCTCTACGACAGGGACGAAGCACGGCTGCGGATTATGCTCTCTCATTCCGCACTAAATAAAAGCTGCAAATGGATCCGCACGCCTCTGACTCCTCGTTACATATGATGTTTTTTCCCCTACTCATTATAGTACTGTACTGTCAGATTTGTTTATTTACTATTTTATTTATTTATTTTATCACATTTTATTCATTCATTTTAATATAATTTTTAATAATTATTTATTTTTCCTTTTTTTAAAAACACATTTTCCCTCTGAACTTTCAACAAACCCCCAAACATTCCCTTGTGATCCCTTGGGGGTCCCTGGACCACAGTTTAAAAACCCCTGCTCTAATCTACAACAATGCTCTTTTCATTGTTAGCGATGAACCCAACATTTTTCTTTCTCAACATTTTGTGTTCGATATTTGTTTCTTTACAGGCTTATAAGATGAGTTTCACAAGGCATCCAGAAGACTCATCTCTATCAGGCCTCTCTTACATTCACCTGTTCCTCTCCTCCTTTACTAAGGTACAGAGAACATGTCAGTGAGAAATGCATAAGCTCTCAAGCACGTGTGATAATGTTCAAATAATGTTACAGGTAACATGTGATGCTGACTCCTACCATGAGTTCATGCCCTTTGAACCTTCCTTCCTGGTGACAGTCCTGTGTTCAAACTCACGCTTCTGCCCCAAACCACTGACCTGTGTGAATAAATCTCAGAGTTATCCTCGTGAGATGTGTCAGAGTCGAACGCTGCACTGAATCTGAGAGGAACTCTTTTCCGCTGAGACCTGTTGGAGCTAGTTTGGGACTATTGAACCATTGGAGCTGCTCCCTGTTTAGTAAAAAAAGAAGATCATTCCAGAGATCATAAAACTGTTTATATTCACTTGTTAAGTAATGGGTTTAGAAATGTCATGTATAGGCTACATACATTTAAGCAATATTATCACATTTGATAACTCATGTACAGTATGACGAACAGTTAAAACCTGCTTGGTGGATATGATCTCTCACAGCACTTTGAAAATTTACCATGATTTTACTAATTTTGGAGGAAATGTAGATTCATACAAAATATTTTTGGGAAAGGAGGAAATCTCATGCATTCTTTTTTTTACTACAACAAGCTTAATTTGTTTACAAAGTTATCCTGGTTTACATGTGGTTACTATAAATACCACAGTTAAACTGGTTACTAATCAAGATTTATGGTCAATTTTATTTTTACCAAGGAAGGAGAGCATTTCACAGAGTAAAAGTGATTCCTGTTGTAATTAATTAATGATGGATAAATGTGTGCTTATTCTCTCTATTGTAAATACAGTTTGAGGTCTGAAGTCTGAATGTATCATAAATGTCAGTCTTATATTTGAAATGTATTATATTTGGATGAAACAAAGTATTTTTTGCATGTGTGCTTTTTGGTCTGCAGTCAGGGAATTTCATACATATAACATACCATTTAATGTTTTAATGCAGAACATGAATCAGTACAAAAATTCAATTATCACATACATGAAATTTCAATATACAATAATAAGAATAATAACAATATATCTTAACCTCAAAGGCAAAAAAAAAAATGCTAAATACAAATATTTAGTAAATCAATCATTTGACTCAGGAAAGTCCTAAGAATTTACAAATGTCTTTCTCATGATTGAATTTTTTCAATTTCTAAGTGAAAATTGTCAAATCCAGGTATTGTTGTGTTTATGGATTAAAATTGTTTTCATAATATCATTTCATGTATTTCAGACCTAAATTCTTCTCTGTAAACAATAACGGTTCAATTTACACCAGGTAAACATTATATACCGTGAATAAAGTATTTAATAAGACCCTATTGCCGTCATCAGCAAGCGCCATTCTTAACAAACGTGTTGTTGTGACGCACATTTGATCCAGTCCAGTTGGTGGCGGTAATACACTATAAGTTGGCTTGTCAACCGCTATTAAATCGTGCAAGAAGAAGAAGAAAACGCACATTTGATGCGTTGTGGTTCTGTGTCAACATGGCTGCACACGCTGGAGACAAGCGTTGTTTGGAGCATTTAGATGAATATGACCCAAAACCGGCAAAACAGCAAAAAAAAATTAACGAACAGATGACGGAAAAGCGTCTTGTTGTTGTTTTAGAAGGGGCCACTCTTGAAACCGTAAAGATAAAAGACAACTAAGGTATTTAGAGACTGAAACGGAATCATTTGTTATTCACTGGATTGCCACTAGAGCGTTAGCAATAATATTTCTCCTAACCGTATGTCTCAGAATTCAAATGTAAACGTATCTCTATACAGGTAGGAAAGACATTTGAGTTGCTGAACTGTGATCAACATAAGAGTATGATCATAAAAAGTGGAAGAGACCCTGGGAAGATTCGCCCTGATATCACTCATCAGGTAAAGCTCTTCAACCCTTTACGTTACCAGCAGTCATCTGAGTTACACATGGTTCATTTTAAGTTTTCAATATTAACAGGCTCATTTTTTAATAAAAGGGTTTAATATGATAAAAAGTTATACATTTTTGCACATTCACTTTTTAATGAGAAATTATAGATCAGGTACACTATGGTTTTAGTAGAAAAATTGTAAGTTTTAACTAGTGCTGTCAAACGATTAATCGCATACAAAAAAGTTTTTGTTTACATAATATATGTGTGTATACTGTGTACATTAATTATGTATATATAAATACAAACACATGCATGTATATATTTAAGAAAAATATGTAATGTTTATACATGAAATATATTTATATATAATATAAAATATAAGAATATAAATGTATATACATTTAAATATTTTCAAAATATATACTGTATGTCTGTATTTTTATATATGCATAATAAATGTACACAGTACACATACATACAGTATGTTATGTAAACAAAAACTTAGTTTGGATGCGATTAATCGCGATTAATCATTTGACAGCACTAGTTTTAACTTATATGTCACTGAGAATAAAATGAAGAAAACAAGCCGTCTTGCAAAGATATTCTGTCAGCTAAAACCATGTGATTTTAGTTTAAAACCGAGAGATTTTTATTTGTCCCATATCTGTCCTCTGAATGTCCTGTCTGCTTTCCCACAGTGCCCGTTGATGTTACTGGACAGTCCTTTGAACAGAGCTGGACTGCTTCAAGTGTACCTTCACACAGAGAAGAATGTTTTGATCGAGATCAACCCACAGACAAGAATTCCTCGCACTTTTGCACGATTTTGTGGACTAATGGGTAAATTCACTCCATTTGCGCATTTACTGTAATCAACAGTCAATTTTGACAGTTTTGTAATGCAAACATTTGTAAGTTTATCTTACTACTATTTGCCCTCCTATAGTCCAGCTGCTGCACAAGCTGAGTGTGAGAGCAGCAGATGGTCCTCAGCGTTTGTTAAAGCTGATTAAAAATCCAGTGTCGGACCACCTGCCACCTGGATGCCCCCGATATTTGACATCGTTCAAAGCAGGAGATGCTGTTTGTCCCAGAACGGTTGTCCCTAAAGATGGACCTGCCGCTGTTGTCATTGGAGCGTTTGCACATGGAACAGTGAGTCTGTTTACACTTCTCCTCACAGCTAAATGAATTATATTCTCCATGCATAGATAATAATTGCATAAATGTGAATCGTGTCATTGCTTTTTAAGTAAATCACTGATCTGTTTCTCCATCCTCTCATAGGTGAATGTTGACTACACAGAGAAGACAGTGTCCATCAGTAACTATCCTCTGTCTGCAGCTCTGACCTGTGCCAAGATGTGTTCAGCGTTTGAAGAGGTTTGGGGAGTGTTATGACAAAACCAAACTGTTATGAACTGTCAGGAACGGACCTTTGGACTGTGCTGTGTGTATGTATACAGTCCATGCCTTGGAGCAAAAATTGTGTTATATGACGGCACAACAGAGGAGAATATTTCATGAATTATAACACAGTTTTAACTCGCACTGACGCAAACCGTTATACCCTTTAAAGTGTGGGGTATTAAACTTCAGTTTCATTTTGTTTAAGTTTATACATTTAACAATAAACCCAGATTTGCATATATGAAACAACACTTTGCCTTTTTTCTCCTTACAGTAAACAATAGCGTACAACAGCGGGCCACTTTTTCAGCAGCCTTGGTTTTTGTAAGTCTATTCAAAATGTCCATGTTAAAGGAGTATAAGCCATAAATAAAATCAATCAGTGATACGGTGAATCAGAACATTACATTACTATTAGGCAAAAAAAAAAGGGAAAATCAGACAAAAAGATAAAGGTACAGGGCTGTACTTAATGGCTTTGAGGGGATAATAAAACTACAATCCCATTAAGCATTCTGAATGACAATAAAAATGGAGAAATATAAATTCAAAGTTGTTGATATGAATAACAACGGTGTTTAGGATAGATAGATTTTGAGAGCATAGCAAGACAATTATGTTATTCACTGTGCTTCGTGGGAGTGAAAAATTGCAAATTGTGGCTCTGATTGATAGATTTTTTTTGTGTGTGTGAAATCATGGGCAGTGTAATTTTTCAACAGGAATTCTGCTGTTAAACTCAGTTCTTTAAAAATGAAATTGAAATGATGTAAACTGATGCCTTCGGGAAAAGCACGTGCCACTGATTAACAACCCCAAGTTCACATCAGGTCTGTCTTTGAAGGTTTGTAAGTTATCATTAAAAATCAATTCCCTTATAGAGAATATGAAATAATTTTTAACCTCTAGACCGGGACCTGACTTTTGCACTCACCTGGTTTTATTGAGCATTCTGAAATGTTATTTTGAAGTTCTCTTTTAAATGTCTCTTCACTTTTTGAAATGTTCTGGTTTATCACAATTGTCTTATGGTTGTACTGTAGCTTTAATCTTGTATTCTCTCCACTATATTCACTATAAATTTAGACAGCTTCAAAACAGTCTCTCCTCCTGTGTTTGGGCTCTGGACCCTTTAGCTTCCTTGACCATCAAATGTGCTTTTAGATGTTGTTTTTTTCTGTCTAGGCTTGATGTTGGTTCTATGAAGGTAGAATGACGTCAAAAAGATTTGCATACGCAGGGTAATATTTGTGGAAGTGTACATAAGACTGTAAGTGTAAATTAAATTTGCATGCGCAAGAGAAGCTTTGTAACGGTGTAAATCGCGTTTCAAGCGCAAGAAAAAATTATTTGCAGCATTTTACTGTTATTCGTAAGTGTAATTCATGTATTGTGAAACTGCAGCTTCATGCTAACGCAAAATAAATATGGTCTGCATGCTTCTGACTTCCATTTTTCCGCGCTTACACTTTTGGCACGTTTTTTTCGCCAAAAGACGGTCAAAAGCACTGCAAGCCTGTGAACAGTGATTTGCAAGCGAAAACAACAGTTTAAAGAACTGCAAAACGGATTGACTGCATAGAACCAATCTGTATGTGTACAAAACTAACTGTTGCAAATGTCTAAATGACTTGTTGTGCATGTGGAGCAAAAAGTTCCCGAAATAAACTGGTATGTACAGCTCTGTCTTTCTTTTCTCTGCGCTTATAATTTTGGCACTGTTCTCTCACTAACTGAGTTTTGCAAGCGTGAGGGTTCCCCCACTGGATTTGTTTTCTTTCCTGTTTTTCCTTGTTCTTTCACCACATTGACACCTTTCCTACAGGTCTCAGGCTCTATTGGTTCTTGCAGAGTTCATTTCCTGCTGTAGGTTTTGGCAAGTTGGGATGCATTTGTAATTTTTCAATTATTTGGGACATTTCCTGTCTAATATTTTTCAGAGATGCAATCGGGTAAGGGAGAAAAAAGGTGAGAACATTGCGCGGACTGGAGGCATGCTCCACATGGAATTTCTTTTAAAGATATTTGCTTTCCATGCTCATTTGTAGTCACTTTAAGGTATTTTGTTATATATTTTTATTACCTTATATGTCCAAAACTGTATTTTTTCCACAAAAAAATAAAAAAATAACATGTTGCAACATTTTACAAAAATCAAGATTGAATATATTTGGTCAAAATCCATGTTATAAAAGATTAAGTGCTGTGCTGGCTAGTTAAGACAATATTGGCTGATTAGACTGCAGTGCCTACCCTAAATGCAAAAATGTTTGCCCTCTCTCTCTTCACCTTTCCCATATATCAGACCTCAAATATATAGAATATACATCGTTTTTGAAGTAAGACTAAGAGTAAGACTTAGAGACGTGCAACACAAAATTACATCATTAATTTTATGTTCAGGCAGCTAAAATGTATGTCAACAGAAGAAAAAAATGAAACTTTGCCATTAATACCTTTTAACAGTGTGAGCTGAAATCTAATATAAAAGTCATGGAAATGTCTATTTTTACTTTTACCTAGTTTTTAAAATGTTCTATTCTAAAGTATTTAATTGTCTAGATGGTGATTTGTGAGAGAAGTGTTGATTTGAGTTTAACCTGTATTATTCAGTAGCGAACCACTCTGAATTTTAATAATTTAAAGGGGTCATATGATGCTGCTAAAAAGAACATTATTTTGTGTATTTGGTGTAATGAAATGTTTATGCGGTTTAAGGTTGAAAAAACACATTATTTTCTCCTCTATGCCCCGCCTTTCTGAAACGCGTCGATTTTTACAAAGCTCATCGGTATGAAAAGCGAGGTGTGCTGTGATTGGCCAGCTATCCAGTACTCCAAAGAGAAAGGAAAAATTGAAATAGCGTCATATGACCCCTTTAACATAGATGGATAGATGCTTTAATAAAAAAAAATAATACGCAAATGAGACAGACACATACATTGAACAACTTTTATGTAACAAAATACAAAACCACTTTAATTAACCAGAAAGCTTATATTTACATTATGTAGTATGTACATTATCAGAAATCAAACAGTCTTTTAAGAGCCATCGTCCCCTGCTTGTATATTGGTGAGTTGAGAGCAGCTGCTGGCGTTCATCGTCTCCTCAGCGGAGTTCTCCAGAAGCGTGGCTCCCGCGTCAGTCTCAGTCTCATCCATTTCATCCGCGGATTCGTCGCTCATTTCTGGATCCTCGCAATCTTTAGATTCGTCTAGCACAGATTTCTCAGTGTCTGTGGGACCCAGGTAGTGACAAACTGCGCTCTTCCTGCCGAACGATTCTTCCTCGTGGAGAGTCAGCACCTCTATTCGGTTAGAGACGGGCTCGTCCTCCTTCCTCTCCGACAGGAACGTCCGCTGAAGCATTAGCTTCTTCATTGTGTGACATTTGTATTTAAGAGCTGAACTAGAACCTGCGCCGTCCTCTTCAAAAATCACACAGGTTCCGATGGCATCCTCGTATTCCCCGGCGAACAGATAGCGGCCCACCTGCATCATGGGCTGCTCGCTGTCGATGTCCACGATCTTACACGCGCCCTGCCGACTGGAGATTAAATCAGAGCTGATCATCCCAGACAGTTCCGCCACAACCAGCTGCTCCTCTTCCACCCATTCGTCCTCCATAGCTGTAGCTGATGAAGCAGTTGCACTCATTTAACTTTTTGAAATGTCTGGGCTGCTCGCTGTCGATGTCCACGATTTTACACGCGCCCTGCCGACTGGAGATTAAATCAGAGCTGATCATCCCAGACAGTTCCGCCACAACCAGCTGCTCCTCTTCCACCCATTCGTCCTCCATAGCTGTAGCTGATGAAGCAGTTGCACTCATTTAACTTTTTGAAATGTCATGCAACTCATGAGCTGAAGCGCTCCGACAACTTCAAGTAGCGAATTGCTTTCGCAGAATTTGCGCGACGGAAGTAGTGATCGGAGGTCCGATTCATTTATGGGAATCGGTTCTTTTGAACAGTTCGGTGTAACCTTTAAAACACGATTCAGTAGTACTTCTCTATCTATCTATCTTTTTTAAGTTTTGCAAATAAAGTAGCCTACTATTGTAATTCCACGTGTCTTCGTGTGTTTAACCGTAAATCAGATTGGACATTAAAAACCTAAATATAATTTGTATTTACATCAGTTAGTACTATAATTTTACTTTGGCCAGAAACGTTTTAGCACATTTAAATAAATACTCCTCTGACCAAGAGGAACAGTATTTTTACTCAATTAATTTACTTATACTTTAGACCAAATTTCACATTAATAAGTGTACATTTACTAATAAGAAACCCAATGTTATGGTTTTGTTGACTGAAATATATATTGACAGTATCAGACTCCAATAAGAAAGCTGTAAGAACTTTGAAACCTTGTGAACTTTATAATATCAAGTTAGGCCTATTTATCTGATTTTGTATGCATGTGTATGTTTATATCTCGTGTCTTTGTTTTGAACTTTTATACCTCCCACTGGCGACTCCTATTCGTTGTAATTTATTATTCTATCCTTTTCCTTTTGTTTTTCTGTTCTTCTTTTTGATGTTGCATCGAAAGCAACTTCCGGAAAACCAACGTGTGCTGAAGTCAGTCACATGTGCGCTAGTTCCCAACAGCATGAGAGACACATGTACTCGGGCAACTTTCGTAAATTAGAGCTAAAAATTTTCTGAGTGTCCTAGAGAAGATCGGAATAAGCGCAAGAGCGTGCTTTTGTTCAACAGTGAGTATCTGGTGGGTTTATCTGCTGGGATTTTTTTTGTGTCTTTATCGGTTCACTGTAAGCTAAGTTCGTAGTTTGCAGCGTGCTAGTTAATGCTGCGCAAAATACATTTTAATGTTTATTTTCTAAACATGGTATTGAGTCTATTGCAATAATATAAACATAACGGGTTTGTATTTTAGTGGCCTTATGAATATATTAGCATTACCTATGTAAAACTGTGGAAGCAGCTCCACGCTCCGATCTGATAATCAACCAGCCAACTTATGCAAGTTTGTCATGATTACAAGTCTTGGTATCTGTTTCTGGCCTTATAATTATGATGTTTTTTATTCTGGTCAAATATCAACTTATTAAATGTTTACTTGTATTGTTACCGTAGAGCAACTTTGTAGGCGTCAATCATGGGCAGAAAGTTGGACCCCACCATCAAGGTGAAAAGAGGACCTGGACGGAAGGCCAGAAAACAGAAGGGAGCAGAAACTGAGCTGACCAAGATTTTGGTTGATGGTAAAGCACACATTCTCTGAGCGATTTGGTTATTGGACAACATTTTCTTGTTTTATGTATTCATTATTTATATACTTATTTTATAATATATATATAAAATGGTTATAACAATGGTTATTCTCTATTTGCAGAGGATGGGCCAAAAAAACTTTCAAGCAGAGCGAGAAAACGGTAAGTTTCTTTTAAATGACTACATATGAATAACTACATGTAGTTTTTTCTTTTGTCCTATTTTTGTATCTCTGTGGTAATTACTTGTGAATTGTATTTTATTTTTTTCCCCCAAATAAATTTCAACAGAGCTGTAAAAAGAGCTCAAGTAACTAAAGAACCCAAACAAGAGGAAAAGCCTAAGAAAGGTATTTAAACATTTCAAAATGAAATTATAATGGAATTACAATGTTGATGCACCCATGAATTTGTAAATTAATTCTTTTCTATTGCAGGATTCTCAGATGAGAATAGTAAATGGCTAAAACCAACTCAGAGGAAGCGAAAGATTGAACAATCTGAAGAAGATGAGGACAGTGACAGCCAGTGGGAAGAAGATGAAGATGATGATGAAGAGGGCTTTAATAACAAGGAAATGGAGGAAAAGGACGATGACGATGAAGATATGGTTGATGACTATGGTGCTGATGAAGGGGATGATCAAGACAGCGATGGAGAAGAGGTATGATTTCAACCAATGAAAAACATTTGTATAGAGGAAATCTTGTCCTTTCTCAAATGTCAAAAATAATTTTTTTTTTTTTTCTCTTGATGTCGTACCACTTAAGCGTGGAGCACACAATACTGTATTTCACAATGCAGTGTGCTTGACTATGCGTTTACATGTGAGATGAACTGGAAGTAATGTCAAAATACATTGTAGCATACTACCATTTTAAATATTTGTTATTATATATCGTCATGCACTATAAACACTATTAAAAAACAATCAGCATAGTATTCGAAGCGTAGCCCTTTCC